GAGCGTGATGTTGCTCTGGGTGTCAGACGATGCCTCCTGGTGTCGTCCGGTGCCTTTGGATGCAGATTTGGGTGCTTTTAACCACAAACACAGAGCCCTGAGACTGGGATTAGTTACTTCTTTTTGGGAGGGGTGAGGTGGGGTCTGTGCAGTGGTCTTGCTTGCATTTGCTCTCTCTTGCTCGCTCTTTCTGCCCTCACCTTGATCTCTTCTTCTATGATGATGTGCTGCTGTTTTGGAAGTGAGCTGTTGCTTCCAAAGTCAGCGGGACAGAACTTTTCTTCAACCCAAACCCAGGTGAACTGATCTTTTCCGCTCCCTGGGAAGTCCCGCTCGGGTTTCAAATGTAGAGAAGGCTTTTCTAGTGCGATGTGCCCCACTAAGGAGCCGTTAACAGCTGCATCGGCAGAAGCGTTGCTGGAGATGGTACAGTGATGGGTGGTGACCAGGAACCTGGGGATGGATTTGACACACACCATCTGTGGGCAGGTGTCAGGGGAATCTGTCATGCAGCAGTGACCCACATGTAAGCCGATCTCCTGCAGAAGGATGGCAAGCTCTGTTATGCCCACCGTGCAACACTTTAGCTCTGTAAAGCAGGTTGCTGGGGACAGCTTTGGCAGAATCCGAGCAGCGGCTTTCTTGCATTGTAAATTACTGGAGGCGACCGGCAGCTCGGCTGCCAGGAGCTGGGAGGCTGTCCTGGGAAAGGGGCACCTCACATGCTCCCCGTAGTCTTTTTCTAAGTATCTGCTGTTCTTGGAGAGCGTGTGACGTGCCGTGGCCCTGCTGCACGGGCTCTCCTTGACAGGTTGGGCGGGGAGATCCCAGTAGCTGTGAGAACGGCCTCGTGGTTTAACGCTGCTGGACTCCTGTTCTGCGCGGCTCGGAGGCCAGCCTGGTGGGGCACGGCCAGCCAGGGACGGCTGGCAGCTTCCGTGTCCTCTGCAGGTCCCTGTCCTCCCACACCCTGCCACTGGTCCCGTACAGTCAGGGCGGGTGATGTACAGCTCGAGAGCCCCGGTTTGTTTCCCCAGCTTCACTGTTTCCTCAGAGCTCTAGTTATGTTGTGTTTACATTCAAGGAACAGGCAAAAAGCTTTGAGATTTCCTGTAGCGTTAGAAATCTGGTCCCTTATAGGAGGGTAGTGTGAGTTATGAGCGAACGTTACGAAGATTGGAACAGAAATAGTTATGGAAAACCATGAAAACTGAACATAAAATGTATTTATCTTACTGACCAGCAGCCCTCCAAACTGCGTGAAAGTGCTGTGCTAGCAGACTTGCTTTCCACAAAATTGATGTTGTGCCTGAAATCTGCTGAGTGCAGGAATCGGGCTTTGCGGCCTGAGTTTGGGAGCAGACTCCTTCTTGGTAGGCTTTTGTCACTGCCGTTGTGGTTGTCCTGTCTCAGCTGATCAAAAGCACAAGCCAGCTGTGAACAGTTGCTTTAAAACCTTCCCCTTACTTTGTGCAGCGTGGTGAGCGCGCAGAATGGGTACTGCACAGAACTGTAGCAGCACCACAGGTAGCGGGAAGAGTCCCAGCCCCTTTTCCCACCTGTCTCCGTAGCATGTCTCTCTTCCTCTCTGAGCCAGACTCGTGGCTGGCTGCCTGCCAGCCGAGAGGCCTCTCTGCACCCTGAACCACGCTTTGTTGTCTTTGTAAACAGATGCAGGGGCCAGGGGGAGGATTTCTGTGTTTTCATTATGAAGTTCTCTTGCGGTCACTTTTTTCCACGTTCCTCCCCTGTGTGACCCCTTCTCCCCCATCACAGTTCAAATCAAAACTGATTTTGACATGGCATGGTTTTTGAGCTGCCGCTGCTCTCAGCAGTGGAAACTCCAGAAATGGTTTTGCTGAATAAGCTCAGGTGTTCCATCAAAGCCTCCTGGTCAGCCCTGGGACTTAGAGGGGAAGTCCTTGCAGAAGCTGTAGCCTGGCGTAGCCGAGTGAATGACACGTGACAAGAAAGAAAGCTGCCTTGATCATCAAGTCTAACAGGTCTGGCAGGACTCTTCCCGGAGCTTTTAATAGCTGCCACAGATTTGAGAGCACCCCTAAATGATGGAGGACCCAGGCAAGAGCTGATGGATTATAGAGCAGCTTCAGACTACTTTAAAACCTGTTTTGTTTTTTAGCTCACGTTGTACTCTGTTTTCATACAAAATTTCATAGTGATTCTGATTTCTTTTGAGTACTGTCCTTGAGACATAAGCCTCCTTCCTCTTCAAGGAAGAACAGTTTGCAGCAGCTGAAGATAACGAAGTACAGAAAGTATTGAAC